TTATCAATATTAATGTTACAGAAAACAGTAATTCTGGCTGTATCTATATCAGTTCTGTTCATTGGTGTGAAGTATGTATTTTCAGAAGTGTGCAAAAAACAATTGTTTAAGTTATCAAAAAAACTACTGTTTACAAATTCCTGTTACCACATGGCATATTTGAGAGGAATGTTCTGAATGAAGAAACAGGATATCTCATAAGATGCTGCTGTATGCGGCACAATGTCTATTGAAATATTTTACTCATGTATACTGTGGATATTTGTGCTTTTAGGAAAAATGCTATATATTATTAAATAGTTTAAGATAAACAACTTAAAAATTCTTGTGAAGTTACAAGAATCTTTAAGTTGCCGAATGCAGTTAAAGGAAAGTGTAAGAACTCTACAGAAGCAGAAATCAACAGAATGACCCAGAGTAGTCAAACTAAGAAAAAAACGCTCCCTTCAGATACAGGCTGATCACAAGGATGTCAAATCTGTGTGTGTGTTCATCTTGTTCCCAGGGAAAATGGAAGAAACACTGGAAATCATATGACTACAGACACCTCAGACATGGTATCTCCCAAAAGTGAGAACCAAAGGAAAAACTGAGTGACATAAAAAGGAAGAAATGTCAGAAGAAAAAATATGCAACAGCTTCGCACACTGGAATTATATTTAAAATGTTTAAATGAATACAATGAAAAGTAGAAAATCAACATTTATTTCTGCGGAAAGAACAAGAAACTTAAAGTTTAAAAGCCACATTTGCACAACAGTCCAATAGAGTGTGAATAATACAAAATTAAGTTATTACACAATGTACAGGTTCACCACTAAACAGGGATGATAAGAGGAATAGTGAACTAGAATACTGAGCGGAATGAATATAGCCAAATACAGAAGAAATAAAATTTCATAAAATATAATTTTTATTTTAATTAAAGACTAGAATGAGGAGTAAAACATGCCTAATTATTGCACTAGAACAACTAGTATGAATTGGCCACAGCAAGTAAGGCCAGTCAGATCCAAGTATTGGGTAAGCAGAATCTTTTCCTCCATGGGAGCAGCGAAAAGCACACATTTCAAAGGGCATGGATAGAGGAATGAATTGTTCCCATTTCTGCAATCAGTATCATTATGCCTTTTCTTGAATAACTGTTCCAAGTCAACTAACTAGTCTATTAAGAGGCTTGGATGGGACTCAGGGTCAACTCTGCCTGACTCCAAACCCGTGAACTCCGTGGGCCCCTGAGGTTCTGGAGAGTGCCACTTCTGCCACAGAAGCAGCATTCCTTAGACATTCTCATCCATCTATTGCTCTTCACTATTGGGAATAATCTCCTTTGAACAATGCTTCTGAAGCAACTTGGAAGGTATTCAAATAATCTGAGAAAGTGTCTGAGAACTGAGCTTAGGACATCAAGGCCCAACATTATTCATTTTTCATCATCAGAGAAATTGGAAAACACATAAGAACATGCTCCACATCTTTGCAAATTCTCACATTTGCAAATTCTTTTCATTTTGGTATTTTCAGATTATTTATGCTTTCAACAAAGATTAAACCAAATTACTGTGCCTGAAATAACCTCTTACTCTAAAAGCAAGTGATATAAAAAACAGATAGGTAGACAGATATTTCCTTCTGCTGCCATTTCCAAGACTCCAAACACAGGAGTGGTCATAGGGCAAATACCTGCAGCACACATGGAAATCACACACAGGCAATGCCTCCCTCACCCTGAAACAGTGGGTCTCACCCCTGACTCCACATTATTGAGTCACATGTAGGGGTTTTACAATTCCCAAAACCCAAATTGCAATATACCAATAAAATCAAAATCCCTGGAGTGGGGTCCAGACATCAGTTATTATTTAAAGTTCTCCAGGTGATTACAGAGTGTAGCCAAGCCCCCAAAGTACTGCTTTAAGCCAAATGTTTTTGGTGTACTAGTTGCAAATTGTCTCTTGAATGAATATAAAATGTTTACCCCTGAGTTGCTGCCTTTCAGTCATACCTGTATTAAATCTACTCATCTTTTGCAGGACTGACCTTTGCTACTCCTTTTGTTCCTGATCAACATGCTCCACATGTACTGAGTGCAGACTGTGCCCAGGGTCCTGTGCTAGGTGTCCTGGCCTTCAGAGCATCACTGTGGGGAAAAGACTTTGCTAGGAAAAGTTTCATCTCAAAAAAATCAAAACCACACCACTTACCAAATTAAGGCAAAAATGGAAAGACCCAAGAGGTGTCCAAAAGATCAGGACATTAACAGATACTTTAGAATATTCAAACCCATCTGATAACACCATGAGAGATTGTGTTCCACTTCAAGACAAAAGAAAACACTGACAATATTCTGAGAGTGAGTTAGGATTGTTGTGCAAATATGTAATTAACTTTTTATTGATATAAAACATGCATACAGAAACATTCATGTGAAGCTTTATAGATTACAACAGAGGACTTTACATAACTGAGGAGTGGAGGCAGCTTTATTCCTGCTCAGAAAATAACTTTCTCCCCTCCTCCCTGTCCAAAGGTGAACAAGATCCTGAGAAAACACTGTAAATGAATATTGCACATGTGTACAAATGCTATTAAACACAAAAAACCAAAATAGTATATAGACCTGTCACCCAGACTCAACTACTAATCATGTACCACTTCTGCTTCATCTGTACTTCAACCCTTTCCCTACCCCCACCCACTTCACTTTTTAAAGATATTTTTTGTGAAGATGTATATATATTACAAAGCATAAACCTTAACTGGAACTTTTAGACAAATAAATAGATCCATATAAACTTCACCCCTTTTCAAAGCAATACAATACAGTGTTATAATTTGTTTCAAATAGTCACAAGTCTAAGAAATTAAGAAAAATGGTACTAGTAAATATTAGACAATAGACACTTAAAATATGAAAATATACTTTTTTTTTGATATGGAGTTCCACTCTTGTCACCCAGGCTGGAGTGCAATGGCACGATCTCGGCTCACGGTAACCTCCACCTCCCAGGTTCAAGCGATTTTTCTTCCTCAGTCTCCCAAGTAGCTGGAATTATAGGTGCCTGCCACCACACCTAGCTAATTTTTGCATTTTCAGTAGAGATGGGGTTTTACCATGTTGGCTGGGCTAGTCTCGAACTTCGTGACCTCAGGTGATCCACCCACCTCGGCCTCCCACAGTGCTGGGATTACAGGCATGCACCATTGTGGCTGGCCCAAATATACTCTTTAATGTTTAAGTTTTTCCTGAAATGTTTGAATCCCTCAGGGAATCTTGCCTGCAGTAATTATTACTGGTATGTTCTAGTGTTATTTCGCATTATCAATTACATTGATTTGTATTTTGAATATTGCAAGATTTCCTTCCTTCTTTCCTTATTTATTTAATCACTTTTATGTCAGTAGAGATGTGTGAATATTACTTTATTCTCTGGGCCATAATCCAAAGCTATCATTATTTATTGCCCGTATTGTTGCAGCTTGGGCCATTGGGAGGTCTTTCAGGTTGGTTCCCTTTGACAAGTCCCCATCAACTGCATTAAGCACTTTTCTCTTTGTGGCTTTACAAGATACTCTAGCTCAACTTGTATTTTCCAACTTCAGCCTGGAATTATCCATTTTTACATGTAGCCTTGATTCCTTTTAATGAATGGTGTTTAGAAACCAAGACTGTAGGCCTAGGTGTATTCATTGATACTAGATGTCACTGCTTCTTGGCCATCAAGAGTTTGGAACTCTATCTCTGAATCATCTGTCTGTCTGTCTGTCTGTCTATCCATCCATCCATCCATCCAGATATATTAGACGTGGGTTCATATTGATATTTGTAACTTTAGGCTAGAATCACAAGATTCATTCTAGCATTCACCCTTTAACTTTTGTGAATTACACTGAGAAACAGTCTACATATATTACATAATAACCTGTAAAATAGTTTCAAAATTGCTAATTCATATCCTTGTGGGAAAATATTACTCAGTAGAATACAATGTTTGTATATTCTTACAGCATTCAATCAAAATAGCATTTTTCAAAGTGACTTAGATCCAGACTTTTTAATCCCCATCATCTTCAGTAGGTCTATGTCAATAGGTGGATGACAGATAATTTTTTTTGTTTTTAGACAGAGTCTTACTCTGTCACCCAGGCTGGAGTGCAGTGGCACAAATTTGGCACACTACAACCTTCATCTCCTGGGTTAAAGCAACTCTCCTGCCTCAGTCTCCCAAGTACCTGGGATTACAGGTGTGCACCACCACACCCAGCTCAATTTTTGTATTTTTAGTAGAGACGGGGTTTCACCGTGTTGACCAGGATGGTCTCGATCTCTTGACCTCGTGATCCACCCGCCTAGGCCTCCCAAAGTGCTGGGATTACAGGCTTGAGCCACCGCGCCCGGCCTGGTTTCATTTTTTAAAGAATTCTGCTAAGTACAGAATCTTGTGTTGATACTAGGTTTTCCTATCTGGACTTAAAAAATGTAATTCCATTGTCATTTGCAACCATTATGACTTATTATACTACACTTACATTGTTTTTCCTTTTATGTAATTTCTTGCTTTGAACTGGCTGTTTTCAAGATTTTATATCTTTGACACTACTTTTACTTCAACTAAATGGTCAGAACTTTGTATTGTAACTAAATAGATCACTGTAGTTACTTATGTTCTCAGATTAATTTCTAAGTACCATTAAAACTTCCTTTTTTTTTGAGATGGCATGATCTCAGCTCACTGCAACTTCTGCCTCCCAAATTCAAGCGATTCTACTGCCTCAGACTCCCAAGCAGCTGGGATTACAGACAGGTGCCACCACGCCTGGCTAATTTTTATATTTTTAGTTAGAGACGGGGTTTCACTATGTTGGCTAGGCTGGTCTTGAACTCTCAACCTCAGGTGATTCACCAATCTCAGCCTCCCAAAATGCTGGATTGCTGGCATGAGCCGCCATGTCTGGCCAGCACCATTAAATTTTATGAAAACGTTCTTAAATCCAAGGGTACATATAAGCAACATTTTATAAGCTTTGAAATAAGAAAATCATATAATTATTCTTACATGAATCATAGGCAAGAAAAAAGGATTTGTATGGGATAGACTTTGAACCCAGAAGACATCAGATTTATGAGAGAAAATTTCAGCGTACTATAGAGAAACTATTCTGCTTTGAGAATTTGTGAATTTTCTAGTTTGGTAGTAAATCAACAGTTCTCAAATTTCCTGTTGTGATCCATGATTTTCTTTTCCATTTGAAGATAGGTGCACACACATGCATTTCTGCTGGTATAGTTCTCTTACACCTTTTTCTTTCTATCTTGATATATCTGTATATTCCATTTAATGTAAGTCAAAGCCAAGAAAAATCTGTAAGTGTTCAATTGGATTGAAAAAGGGCATGTATAAAGAAAACTATTGAATATAATTTTAAAAATAGTGATTCAAGATTTTAAATGTATGGCTTTTAAGTATACTCCCATATAATCTTTATTATAGCTGCTTTAGTACACTAGTAGCTACAAAAAGCAGGAAAGAATACAATATAGTAACTATGAGAATACTATCAATATTAAAGTCCTCTTGAAAATTGATATGAGGTATATTTACGATCTTTCAGATACAAGTTTTCACTTTTCTCTCATATCTGTGAAGACATTTTTAACACATCAAATAATATCCAAGATTACTACTTCACTGTATTATAATGGTATGCCAGTATTTTAAATAACTGATCAGTTTTCTTCTACTTAACGGGCAACTGATGTAATTAATAAATTCAGACTATTCCTCTTTTGCTTTAGCATAGAATAATAATGCCCTAAATATGTAGTATATGCTTACATGCATTACTGTTTTATAATTTAAACACAAAGAGCATCTTTTAGATTTTCTTTATGCATTTTATATTTGCCATTAAACTTCCATGAAAATAAATTGATATTAATGATATTCATCTACCCTAGAATGACCTCTCACAGCTCTGATGCAGAAAAAATAGACTATATGTTTTTATATAAACTAGGCATTAAGGTGTAACAACTAATTTAAGAAACAAAATAAATAACTGCTTTGGCTTTAGAGTAATTCTCTGTAATAAATACTCTTGTTATTTAATTTAAAGTCTGAGGATCTGTGCTTTAGTCCTTTTTTGGGTAAGTTTTGACACATTCAGACTTGAGTGTTGATTAAATACTTCCTCCCATTTATTCAGTCTATAAAGTCTGTTTCCCTATAAACTCTATGGTAATTTTTAAGTTCTAAATTTTGGATAAAACTCTTTCCACATTTACTACAACTATAGAGATTGTCTAGTATGAATTTTCTCATGTCGAGTAAGGGTTGAGGAGCAAGAGAAAGATCTGCTACATGCTTTGCATTTGTAAAGTTTTACTCCAGTATGAATTCTACGATGTTTAGTTAGGTATGAACTACAGTTAAAGGCTTTGCCACATTCTTTACATATGTACGGTTTCTCTCCAGTATGAATTTCTTGATGTCGAGTAAGGCGTGAACTGCAATTAAAGGCTTTGCCACATTCTTTGCATTTATAGGGTTTTTCTCCAGTATGAATTCTCTGGTGGACAATAAGACTTGAGGAACGGGAAAAAGATTTGCTACATGATTTACATGTGTAAAGTTTTTCTCCTGTATGAATTCTCTGATGTTTAGTTAGGTAAGACCTACAGTTAAAGGCTTTGCTGCATTCTTTACATTTGTAGGGTTTCTCTCCAGTATGAATTCTCTCATGTTGAGTAAGGACTGAAGATAGTCTAAATGATTTACCACATTCTTTACATTTGTAAGGTTTCTCTCCAGTATGAATTCTCTGATGCACAAGAAGATTTGAAGAATGAGTAAAACATTTGCTACATGCTTTGCACCTGTAAAGTTTTTCTCCAGTGTGAATTCGCTGATGGCTATTAAAATATGAACTAGAATTGAAGGCTTTCCCACATTCTTTACATTTGTAGGGTTTCTCTCCAGTATGAATTCTTTGATGTTGAGTAAGGTGTGAAATATAGTTAAAAACCTTCTTACATTCTCTACATCTGTAAGGTTTCTCTTCATTATGGATTATCTTATGTTTTCTTAGACTCGACAATTTACTAAGGATTTTCTCACCATTATTACGTCTGTGTGACTTTTCTCCAATGTGGATTCTCTGAGGCTGAGTATTTGATGACTGGATAAAAGTTTCTACACACTTATTACATTTGGCAGACTTCTCTTGAATATGGATACTCTGATGGATATGGTTGGTGCATTCATGAAAGACTTTCTCACATTTTTTACATTTGTAATGGTTCTGTAGAAAATGAGTTTTCTGATGTCTTCTAGGGCTTATGCCTTGGCTTAATGTTGCATCAGATTTATTGTACTGATTTTTCTCTGCAAGACAAATATCCTGGTAATTATTTAGGGTAGAGTCCTGTTTAAAGGCTGTTAAAGTTTTATCATACGTGTGATATTTTCCCAAATTATCTATGCCCTGATATTGATTAAGCAATCATGAATGAATGAAGACCTTTATATATTGATTAGAGGCAGAACAAGGTGTTATTTGTTGGTGAAACGAACTTTAAACAAAGCATCCATCAAACTGATCATATTTAGAAATCACCTCTTCAATTTGAAATCTCTCTTTTTCAGAAATATTTGACTGAACATTTACTCCAGTTCTATATTTTAATTGGTTTATATGATTATTTGAAACATGGACTAAGTCACTATTCAGATTTTCCATATTTCCTTTCAAAGAAAAGGTATGTTTCAAAAATTGATGTTGACATTTAGTTACAGAAATACATGGTTTAGAAAAGGCAACTGACATAGATTGAGTTTTTTCATGTTTTTGACCTCTTGTAGTACTGGTGCTTTTGTTATAGGTAGTTGTCCTACATTCTGTATGTCCATCATAACAGTCGTTGTGAACTTCACACTTACCGTCGCTTTCACACTCTTTCCTTAAGTGTAAATTCTGAAGTCCACAGCTCCCATATCCATCCAATATCACTTTTTGGAATGATGCTTCTATGCACTTCTTTCTCAAGAGGGCTTGAGTATCATGAGAAAATATATCTGAAAGATACCAAAAGTTGTGAAAATTCCAATTACTACATTCAGGAGAAAATAATTTATAAATCTAATACATAAAATTACAACAAGTTGAGAACACCATGATAGTTGAATCAAAAACTTGAGGTCCCTTTGTTTTCTCAATTGATATATGTACTTATATATAATAGGGTGACTAAAGCCAGTTGAGTTTGCAGTGCCTAGGTGAACACAAAGCCAAGAATGGTTGCATCCAGACGGAAGAAAGTTTGTTGTATTTGTGCACCACAGTACAGTGCAGTTACACTAAAACTTTTCATATTGTGTTTCACCCTCAGGAAAGAAAAAAAAAAAAAGGAGTGAAACATGTCCAAACTTCTGGGTTATTCTGGGGCTATCTAAGGACTGGTCATTGCTTCCTTTAATGATGCTGAAGAAAATGGTGATATATTTGAAATGACATGTCAGGTCAACTGAGAACAAAGATGAATGCTTGTTACAACAACAGAGAGACATTAGTGTCTATGACAGTCATCAAAGGGAGAGATTAAAGGCTCCTAAGAGAGAAAAAAAGCAAATCTTTTATATATGAAAATAAACACAGTAGTCCAAAGAAGACATATCCTGACAGCAGTTTGAAGAATTACCCAGAATGACTATAGCCTGATAGGTATCTGTTTTCCCCTGTACAAATTCATTCTATAAAAGATGAATAGGTAGCTGTTTCTTAATTGATCAAAATATTAACAAAATCACAAGAAAAAGTAATTAAAAAACGTGGTCCAATCAAAGGACCAAAATGAAAGTAAATCTAAAGAAGTAGAAATCTATTAACTAACATATTAATATCCAAGTGAAGCTAGAGAAGTAGTAATCTGTTAATTAATTTTAAAATAATTTAAAATATCTTTTTCTTATAGACAAGGTCTTACACTGTCACCAGGCCAGAGTGCAATCATAGCTCACTAGAACCTTGAATTCCTGGCCTAAAGCAGTCACCCTACCTCACTTTCCCAAGTGGCTATGACTACAGGAGTGCACCACCACATCTGAATACTTTTTAAAATTCTTTGTGCAGATAGGGTCTTGCTAGGTCATCTAGGATGCTTAAGAATTCCTGGCCTCAAGGAATCCTATAGCCTCAGACTCTCAAAGCCTTGGGATAACACCAGCAACTGCACCTGGCATTCTCTGTTTTCTTTAAGAAATGAGGACATTAAGCCCACAACTGCACAAAAGGAAAAGGATATATTACATACTGATAAAGAGTTCAATTCAATAAGGATATTTAAATATGCTAAACACCTATCCACCAAACTTTGGAGCACCAAGATTCATAAAACAAGTACTTCTAGACCTGAGAAAAAATTGGCGACATAGTAACAGTGGGGTACTTCAATACCCCATGGACATCATTAGAACATTGAGGCAGAAAATTAACAAAGAAATTTTGGACATCAATTCCACATGACCAACTGGACCTAATAGGCATCTACAGAATAGACCAATTGGAAGCAATAGACATCTACAGAATACTTCACCTATCAACCACAGAACACACATATCTTTCATACGCACACAGGACACACTTGAAGATTGACCCTACATGCTCAGCCAGAAAGCAAGTCTCAATAAATTAAAAAAAAAATCAAAATCATACCAACCATACTCTTGTTTCTTTTTCTTTTCTTTTCTTTTTTTCTTTTTTTTTTTTTTTTTTTTTACTATCTCCAGTAATGGGTATAAGTAATTTTGTTTTCTTTTTTTTTCCACTACCAACCATACTATTGAACTAAAATAGAATAAAAACAGAAAATAATACCAAGAAGATCTCTCAAAACCACAGAACGCATAGAAATTGAACAACTGAATCAACAACTTTTGAGTAACAATGAAATCAAGGTACAAATTAAAAAAATTCTTTGAAATAAGTGAAAACAGAGAAAACACATACCAAAATCTTTGGGACACAGCTAAAGCCATATTAAAAGAAGTTTATAACACGAAATGCCTACTTCAAGAAATTAGATCTCAAATTAATGATGTAAGATCACATGTAAAGAAACTAGAAAAAGAAAAATAAGTTGAGCACAAAGCTAGCGGAAGAAAAGAAATAACTAAAATCAGATAACTGAATTAAATTGAGACGCCAAATTCCATACATCAGCAAGCATCAGCAACACCAAAGTTGGTTCTTTGAAAGGATAAACAAGATTGATAGACCTCTAGTTAGGTTACTAAAGAAAAAGAGAAGATCCAAATAAGCACAATCAGAAACAACAAAGGGGACATTACAATCGATCCCACAGTTATACAGAAGATTCCCAGAGACTTATAAACACTTCTATGCACATAAAGTAGAAAATCTAGAGGAAACGGGGAAATTCCTAGAAACACAAAATCCCCAAAGATTAAACAGGGAAGAAACTGAAACCCTGAACAAACCAGTATCAAGTTCTGATATTGAATCAGTAATAAAAAACCTACCAATCATTAAAAAAAAAAAAAAAAAAAAACCTGGACCAGATGGATTCACAGCTGAATTATACCAGAAGTACAAGGAAGAGCTGGTATCAATTCTACTGAAATTATTCCGAAAAACAAAGAGGAGGGACTCCTCCCCTCTCATTCTATGAGGCCAACATCAGTCTACTACCAAAATCTGGCAAAGACACAATGAACAAAGAAAACTGCAGGACAATATCTTTGATTAACATAGATATAAAAGTCCTCAACAAAATACTAGCAAACCAAATCCAGCAGCACAACCAAAGGTAATTTACCACAATTAACTTTGCTTTATTCCTGGAATGCAAGGTTGGTATAACATGTGAAAATCACTAAATGTGATTCAGCACACAGAATTAAAATTTAAAAGCTGGGTGCAGTGGCTGACTCCTGTAATCCCAGCACTTTGGAAGGCCAAGGAGGGTAGATCACCTGAGGCCAGGAGTTCGAAACCAGCTTGGCCAACATGGTGAAACCCTGTCTCTACTAAAAACACAAAAATTAGCTGGGTGTGGTGGTGCATGCAGGCACTCAGGAGGCTGAGGCATGAGAATCGCTTGAGCCCAGTAGGCAGAGGTTGCAGTGAGCACTCCAGCCTGGGGGATAGAGTGGGACTCTATCTCAAAAAAAAAAAAAAAAATCACTATTTCAATAGATATGGGATAAGCTTTTGATAAAATTTAACATCCTTTAATGATTAAAAAAAAACCTTCAACAAACTAAGAATTGAAGAAACATACCTCAAAATAATGAGAGCCATCTATAAGAAACCCACAGCCAACACACTGACCAGGCAAAAGCTGGAGGCATTCTCCTTAAAAACAAGAAGAAGAGAAGAATGTCCACTCTCACCACTTCTACTCAACACAGTAATGGAAGTACGAGCCAGACAAATCAGTCAAGAGAATGAAATAAAAGGCATCCAAAGAGAAAAATAAGAAAGTAACATCATTTCTGCTGATATGATTCTATATCTCAAGAGACTGTGCCAAAAGTATCCTAAAACTTATAAGGAACTCCAGTAAAATTTCAAGATATAAAATCAAAGTACAAAAATTAGTAGCATTTCTAGACACCAATAACATTCAAGCTGAGGGCCAAATCAAGAACATAATTCTATTTACAATAGCCATACACACAATGAAAAAACCAAATACCTAGAAATAGATCTAACCAACGAGGTTAAAGGTCTCTACAAGGGGAACTATAAAACACTGTTGAAAATAATAATAGACAACACAAACAATTGGAAAAACATTCATGATCATAGAAGAATCAACATCATTAAAATGACCATACTGTCCAAAGCAATCTAGAGATTCAATACTATTCCTATCAAACTACCAATGTCATTTTTCACAGAATCAGAAAAAAACTATTCTAAAATTCATATGGAATTAAGAATGGAAAATAAATAGTGTGCAAAGTAAAATACTGTCATATTAGTTAAAATATATGTTATATCAAAACATGTGACAAGAGACAAGAAAGAGCATTATACAATTATAAAAGGGTTCATTGTCCAGGAAGCAGTAATAAATATTAACAATATGTACCTAACATCACAGCTTCCACATACATGCAGCAACCAGCAAACTTTTACAGAATTGAAGCAATAAGTAGCCAGCAGTACAATAGTAGTAGGAGACTTCCATCCTCCACTTTCACTAATGGAAAGAATAAAAGAGACAGAAGATCAATAAGGAAACAGAGGACGTGAACAACACTGTAGACCATTAGACCTAACAGTCATATACAGAACTGACCATTCAACAGCAGAATACACAATACCCTTAACCATACATGACACTTTATCACAGATAGACAACCTGTTAAGCCACAAAAAAAGTCTTACAAATTTAAGCAGATGAAAATCACACAAAGCATCACTGCTTACTACAATAGAATAAAACTAGAAGTTATGAACAGAAAGAAAAATGGCATGTCCACAAATATGTGGAAATTAAATAAACTCTCAAACACACTCTTGTTCGAGAGTTTAAAGACAATGTTGTTAAGATGCCAATACTACCCCAAAAGATCCACAGATTCAATGTACTCTCCATGTTAATGGAGCTTTTTGCACAAGTATTAAAATAGTCTAAAATGTCTATGGAATCTCAAGAGACCACAGATGGATAAACAATCTTGGGAAAGAATAACAAAGAGACATCATATGTTCTGATTTCAAAACATACTACAAAGCTATTGTACTCAAAACACTGTGCTACTGACAGAAAGATAAATAAAAGATGAAACAGATTGGAGAATCCAGAAATAAATCCTCATGTATATAGTAAACTTATTTTCAATAAAGGTTCCAAGAATCCACAATGAGGAAAGGACAGTCTCTTCAACAAATAGGGTGGGAATATTGGAAACCAACAAGAGAAAATATAAAGTTGGACCTTACCTTGCACATTTACAAACATGACTCTAAATGGACTGAGTTATTTTTTGTAGCCACTGTAACTTACATTTTTTATTTTCTTTTTCAGATTGTTTTCTAACAGTAC